TAGAGTATCATAGAAGGATTTAGATTTACTATTAATGATATTAACCTCGGTGTCATTGATCAGCAAGTACAAATTCTTGTTACTTTCATAGGTGTGGCTTTGGGTATTTACTACCTCTATCCATTCTTTTGGAATGGAGTTTAGAATAATATTATATTGACGTTCAATGGCATTGGGGTTAAAATCCATTCCTTCACTTTCAAAATTGTCTAAAATATGATGAAATGGTAAGAAACCAGGAATAACTTCATATATTATATCTAATATTTTGGTAATTTTACAATCAATAAACATATGAAAACTTAAATGGCTGTCATTATAGGTAATAAGGGGATTATAAAATAAGGGTTGATGTATGATGTCATCTATAGTGGTCGGATTGACACGATTTTTACTATTAATTTCATCCCATGCAATCAATAGGTTCTTTTGAAAGGTGGGAAAATGAGAAAAAGCTTGCTTGATGGTTTTCATATGGAAAACTTCAACGTCTAAGGAGCATTTAAAATATGTACCTAGATAAAAACTTAAAATGGATTTCCAGGTATGGCAATATGATTTCGGGTCTAAATAGCATTTGATCCAGTGGATTCGAAAAGATTGTTGTCTCAATATAATGTTTGGAATATTAAGACCGCCTTCTTTATGAGAATTAATTAGGGTAGTAGCTTTAATGAGAGGTGGTTTGCCATACCATAGAAATTTGCTGATAGCCGAATTTATTTCTGATACAGCAGAGTAAGGGATATCAAATACTCTCAATATGTACCACAATTTTGACATACATAAAGTATTTATTATGACTGATTTACCAATTAGAGAGAGATTTCTCTGTGTCCACATATTAAGAGTATTTTTGATAGCCCTCACTCTGCTGTCCCAGTTGTATTTAAAGCATAATTCTAGATCAGTGCCTAGGAAAACACCTAGAATTTCAATGCAGGCATGACTAACAGAAATTGGTATAGGACAATTTAGTAGATTATGGTCATTTGAGTTAATGGGTAGCAGCTCGGATTTTTCTTCATTGAATTTTGCCCCGGATGCTTTACAGTAGGGAATTAAATTGGTGAAAACATTGACAACAGAATTGAGGTCTGATAAAGTGACAGTGCAGTCATCAGCATGTTGGTATATTAATGAGGGAGTAGGTCTATTTGGTATAGGGATTCCATGTATATTATTGGCTGATGTAAGTAGATTATGAACTGGTTGAGCAGTAAGTACATATAATAGTGCGCTTAGTGGACATCCTTGACGGGTGCCGCGTTCCACAGGGAAATATAGGGATAGGTGGCCATTTACTTTCACACAACTTAATACATTAAAATAAAATAATTTAATATGTGAAATAAAATTTTGGCCAAAACCATAAGACTGTAGAATTTGAAATAAATAAGAAAACCTTAAACTATCGAAAGCTTTTTGGGCGTCTATTTTTAAAATATAAGCAGTGATATTGTTGGAATGAGTGTAACTAATGAGATCTCTTATAGAAGATATATTGTTAGCAATATCTCTGCCTGGCACACAAGATTGCTCAGGGGAGATAATGCTAGCAATACATGTTCTGAGGCGAAGAGCAAAAATCCTTGTATAAATCTTGTAGTCAACATTAAGAAGTGTTATGCGGCGATAATATTTCAAATTTCTTTTGTCTCATTTATTTTTGTAGAAAAGA